TATAAGATTATTTCTTTGTTGCTTTGTATGTCCCTCCCCCACGGTATAACCCCTGCTTTCACTGTATTTGATGTCGGTATAATTTGTGGAGGGGAAGGGAAGAAACAAATCGTTTAAATAGGGATACAGGACCCAGTGCATCAATGAGATGTACAATTCGTTATTTTGAAAATGAACTTTACAACTTTGGTGCTGGGGGGGAGGGAGGGAGAAGGATTGGGTGGGGGAGTGGGGGTTGACGATGGGAAGGGATGGGAAGGGGAAACAAAGGAGGAGGCTACAATGACTGATAAGAAATGTACTCATTACTTTGCCCATGTAATTGTAACCCCTCTGTACAGTATTTTCACAAAAAAAAGACTTCAGTCTTTCTTAAGCTAGAATTTAGATCATGAAAGTTCACAGTAAAGTCCAGAGATAATGGCTTCTTGGTGGGCGCAGATTTTGGGTAAATAAAGTTAACTGCATAAAGCTTCTTTCTTCCCTGGGATGGGAAATCCTGAGAGAGGGAAGTGGAAACTTAATTCTGAGGTATGCTCTACATGGCAGAGCATCACTGTGGGCTACTGTTTTGTCAGTCCCAGTGCTGGCAATGAACAATCCTAGAATGAAATGAGGAAAATAAAAGTAAAAGCTTACAACAGAAACAAGAAACTTTCTAGGCTCATGAATTAGAATATTCACTATTAACCCAGTGCTGAAATCTGAAGTTTAAGGCTTGACACCATCCAAGCAGGAAAGTCTATGAGACTCTTTCATCTCCAATCAACCAGCAAAAAGACAGACGTTGAGGTGTGGTTCAAGTGTTAGAGCATCAGCCTTAAAAAGAAAAACCCAGTATGAACACAAAGAAAAAAGAAAACTCTCTGTTGTTAACATGAAAGATTGAGCAACAGATTCAACACTATCCCAATCAAAATTTGAGCTGAGTATCAGTGGCTCACATCTGCAATTCTATTTACTTGGGAGACAGAGATTGAGAGGATCTAGGTTCAAAGGTAGCCAGCAAAAAGGTTTTTGCAAGACCCCATCCTAAATTATTGCTGAGCTTAGCAGTATATACTTATCATTTCAGGCTCCAGCTAAAATGTAAGCTTAAATATAAAGGCTTGTTTCAGTCTGTCTCAGGTAAACAGCAAGGCCCTATTGTAAAAATAACCAGAACAAATAGAACTGGAAGCATGGCTCAAGTAGTAGAGTACCTTGCTTTTAGCAAGTGCAAAGCCCTGAGGTCAAACTCCAATACCACTGGGTGGCGGTAGCTCACACCTGTAATCCTAGCTACACAGGAGGCTGAGATCTGATGATCACAGTTCAAAGCCAGCCCTGGCAGGAAAGTCTGTGAGACTCTTATCTCCAATAAACCACTAGAAAACCAGAAGTGGCGCTGTGACTCAAGCAGTAGAGTGCTGGCCTTGAGCTGAAGAGTGCAGTGCAGGGACAGCGCCCAGGCCCAGAGTTCAAGCCCCACGACCGACCAAAAAAAAATAAAAAAACAAAAAACAAAAAAGAACTCCAGTACCACCAAAATAAGAAAAATATCAAGCAGGTTTGCTTTATGAGTTATTTATTTTGCAGAGCTTAAGAAGCTCACCCTGAAATTTATATAGAAGTACAAAAGATTAAGAACAAAACATTTTTTAAAAGAACCAATTTGAGAAACAATATACTTCTACCATCAAAACTTACCATAAATCTGCTATTAAGATAGTGTAATACTAATGTATACAAAGATCAACAGAACATAACTGATAGCCCATGGAAGAAAAATTAACTTATTACACTGGAGTTATGGCTCATTTGCGTAAGTGTTAGCCAGTGAGCAAAAGTGTTAGGTACCAAGTTCAAATAACTATCTTGAATCAAAAAAGGAATAGAGGGGCTGGGAAGGTGGCTCAGTGGTAGAGCACTTGCCTTGCATGCCTGAGGCCCTGGGTTCGATTCCTCAGCACCACATAAGGAAAAACAAAAACTCAAGTGGTAGAGCGCTAACCTTGAACTGAAAAGCTGAGGAACAGCGCCCAGGCCCAGAGTTCAGGCCCCATGACAGGACCCTCCCCCGCAAAAAAAGAAGCTCAGGGGCAGAGCCTAGGCCCTGAGTTCAAGCTCCAGGACTGGCAAAAAAATAAACAAAAAAACAAAAAAGGAATAGGAAAATAAAACCTTGTGGGGCTGGGAAGGTAGCTTAATGGTAGAGTGCTTGCCTTGCATGCTTGAGGCCTGGGTTTGATTCCTCAGCACCACATAAGCAGAAAAAGCCAGAAATAGTGCTATGACTCAAGTAGTACAGCACTAGCCTTGAGCTGAAGAGCTGAGGGACAGCGCCCAGGCCCACAGTTCAGGCCCCATGGCCAACACCACCACCAACAACAACAAAAGAAACACCATAAATGGTCAACTTATTTGACAAAGTGCCAAGTATAAATTGAAAAGTTAGATTTACACCAACACCTCACACTGCAAACTCAAAAGAGATCATACTAAATGTAAGATAAAAAGACCTCCTATCTAAGAAAAGCCCATGACCAGATGGATTCACAGCTGAATTCTACAAAGCCTTCAAAAGACAACTCACTCCAATACTCCTCAAATTCTTTAATGAAATAGAAAAGATCACTATCAAATTCATTCTGTGAAGCCAGCATAACCCTCACCACAGAACCAGACAGGGACCATCAAAGAAAAAGCATCACAGACCCATCTCTTTGATGAACATGTATGCAAAACTTCTAAATAAAATTCTGGCCAACCAAATTCAACAACTAACCAAAACAAGATCAAATGGGATTCATTCTAGGGATGCACAGCTGGTTCAATAAACACAAATCAATTAATGTAATTCAACACATTAACAGGAGCAAGGACAAGAATCACATGGTCATCTCAATTGATTCAGAAAAAAGCATTTGACTAGATCCAATACCCCTTTATGATGAAAGCTCCGGAAAAGCTAGGAATCCACGGAACATTTCTCAATATAATAAAGGCTGTATATGACAAACCTACAGCCAGCATTATATTTAATGGTGAAAAGTTAAAACTATTTCCTCTAAAATCAGGAACAAGACAAGGATGTCTGTTCTCTCCATTCCTCTTCAATATAGAAGTGAACTTCATCAAAATTAAAACCTTTTACACTTTAAAAACAGTATCATTAGTAAAAATCAACAGGTAAACTGTTGACCCTTTAAAAGACATTTAAATGCTCAGTTTGGAAGCACATATACTAAAATTGGAAGAAATTAGAGATTAGCATGGCCTGATACAAGGATGACCTACTAACTGGTAAAGCATTTCATATTTTAAAACAACAAATATAAATAAATAAATAAATAATACTTAAATGGCCAGCAGGAACATAAGAAGATGAAAAATCTTTTAGAGAAATGTAAAGTTTTTTTGTGTGTGTGTGTGCTAAAACCCGGGCTTAACCTTTAGGCTCTACATTCACACTTGGATTTTGCACTTAATGGTGGTGCTCTAACACTTGACCCACAGCTCCACTTTCTGCAAATTAAAATTTATAATGGGTTCCATTTTAAAGATCAACAAGTGGTAGCAAAGATGCACTGCAAAAAAGTGTCATATGCCATTGAATGGAATCTGATACAAATTGACAGATTTTGACAAATAACTTGAAAATTCAAGAGTTAACCATTTGTACCCAAAAGAACTGAAATAGTCCATACAAAAATGTATATACCAACATTCATAAAAACTTCATTTGGAATGGCCAAAACTAAAGAAAAAAACAATGCCTATCAACACAAAAGTGCTAGGTCCATATGTGGAATACTGTGCAAAATAAAGGAAAAGAGCTATAAATATATCCAATATATTACAAAAATAGACCTTATAATACTTATGCTGAGTGAAAGAAGCCAAATAACAATACATACATACATATATAAATAGATATACACATACTGTATAATGCTATTTAAAATTCCAGAAACACAATCTATAATGATAGGAAGCAGATTTGTAGTTGCCTTGAGATAGTAGTCAGGGAAATTAAATAACTAAAAAAATGTTTACTAAGGTACCCAAAGAAACTACTTGGAATGTGGACAATATTTATTAATTTTTACTAATTCCAAAACTTTTGTCAGTTTTTTTTGTTGTTGTTGTTGTTGTTTTGGGGTTTTTTGGTCCTGGGTCCTGAACTCTGGGCCTGGGTGCTGTCCCTCAGCTCTTCAGCTCAAGGCCAGCACTCTACCACTTGAGCAATAGTGCCACTTCCAGCTTTTTCTGCTTATGTGGTGCTGAGGAATTGAACCCAAGGCCTCATCCATGAGGAGGCAAGCACACTACCACTGAGCCACCTTCCCAGCCCTAATTCCAAAACTTTTAACAAGTGTATTTTTAAAAAGTTCAGTTTGCTGAACTTAAACTTCATGAAATGTTGTTTTGTTTTTTGTCAGTCATGGGGCTTGAACTCTGGGATTGGGTGCTGTCCTTGTGCTCTTCAGCTCAAGGC